TATTTCAAGCCCTAAAAGAAAACAAATACCCGCTCAGATTCCTATATCCTACAAAACCCGCTTTCAAAACTACGTTAAAACTTTCCATGATAAATGCTACAGAAACACATAATTGTTAAACCAGCACTACAAAAAACTCCAGGGAATTCTAGACAGAGACAGGGAGGCCACCAGTACCAAAGAGGCCAAAAGGGAAGTAGTTAAACAAACGGAAAAACAAAGCAGAACAAAACAAAGGAATCAGTACTAGAAAACTAATGTAATGATAAGATTCAATAAGCACCTTACAATAATGGCTATGAATGTCAAGGGTCTTAACCCCTCAGTCAAAAAACAGACTGGCAGATTGGATCAAAAAACAAAATCCAACTATATCCCGCTTACAGGTAACACATCTCATCCAAAGGGAAGTGCAGAGAGTTAAAGGTGAAAGAACGGAAAATGATACTCCACGCAAGTGGAGCTCAAAAGCAAGCAGGAGTACCTATCTTATTTTCAGACGGAGCAGCCTTCAAGCCAAAGCTGATCAGAAGTGACAAAGATGGCCACTACGTAGTGGCAAAGGAACAACTCAAAAGGAAGCAATAACAGTTATAAACACCTATGCACCAAACGCCAGTGTGCCCAATTTCATGAAACAAAACTTCTGCACATATAGGAACAGAGAGACACCACAACAACTGTACTTCAACGTCCCACTCTCAGTTAGACAGGTCAACCAGGAAAAGAATTAACACAAATATCGGCGTTAAACCACAACCCTGAACAAGGGGACTTATCGAAGGTCTACAGAGTGTTTCCTCTCACAACAACAGAATACACATTTTTCTCAGTGACGCACAGAAGTTTTTCCAAAACAGACAGAAAGCTTGTCTAGATAAATACAAGAACTGAAACAACCAACATCACACGATCGGATCACAGTGGAATGAAGCTAGAAATTAGTAGCAAAAGAAACCACAGAAATGACATGAACACATGAACACTAATGAATAATCAATGGATCCCAGAAGGGACCAGCAAAGAAATGAAAATGTTCCCCAAGTAAAATGACAGTGGAATCATAGTACCGTGATACATGCATATTCATGTTTAGAGCAGCAAATTCACAACAGCTAGCTCTTGGAAATGACCTATATGTCCACCAACAGAAGAGTGGATCTTTAAAAATGGTACATATAAGCTGGGCATGGTGGCACATATCTGTAATCCCAGCACTCAGGAGGCTGAGGCAGGAGGATCATTGTGAGTTCAAGACCAGCCTGGGCTACAAAGTAAGCTCAAGGCCAGCCTGAACTGCATAGCGAGACCCTGTCTCAAAAAGACAAAAAATACAGAGTCCTACTCAGTCGTGAGAAGGATAAATTTCTTTCTTTCTTTTTTTTTCTGTTTTTGAGACCGGGTCTTGCTCTGCAGTTCAGGCTGGCCTTAAACTCAGTTTGTAGCCCAGGCTGGCCTTGAACTCCCAGCGATCCTCCTGCCTCAGCCTCCCAAGTGCTGGGATTACAGGCGTGCACCACCACGCCCAGCTTGAGAAGGACAATTTTTTTTTTTTTTGGGATACTGGGAATCGAACTCGGGACCTTGTGCTTGCTAGGCAGGCGCTGTGCCGCTGAGCCATATCCCTGGCCTGAGTAGGACAGCTATGAGTCATTTGTAAAAAATGGAAGGGAAGCACCTTGAGACCATAATGCTAAGCGAAATAAATCAGACACAAAAGTGAAACAGTACACGCTTTCTTTTACTTGAGAAACCCAAAGTATAAATAATTTAAAGAGCAAAGTAAAAGATAACAGGAAACAAGGAGGCAGACAATCTGCAGAAGTGAAGAGGATCTAGACATGGAGGGAGGGGAAAAGGAGGAGAGAAGAATGTGAAATAAAAAGGACTAAGATGCAATATGTATATATACAAACTCCCCAAGATGAATGAATGTATTATGTATCACAAATATGTACTAATAAAAAAAGAGAATGAAGAAAAGAAAAAGTACAAACACATATATCTAGCACTGTTTATAAATAATAAGATTTGGAAACAACTAAAATGTATAACATTTGGAGACCTGAGAGCCACACAACAGAACACCATGCAATTGTTAAAGAGATGAATATAGTTACACATGTTATTAACAAAGTAAAAAACATTAAATAAGAAATAGGATAAAGAATAGCATCTACAGTAAAATCCTTTCATTCTGTGAGCATGTAGGAACTCTGTTTAGAGATGGTGTTGTAGCTGGGCCTGATGGCGCAAGCCTGTGATCCTAACACTCACAGGCTCAATGTGAGTTCGAGGCCACCCTGGGCTACATAGTGAATTCAGGCCAACCTGGACTATATACAGCAAGCCCCTATGTAAAAAGCAAAACAAACAAACAGAAAGAAGTGGTGTTGTAACCGTGACTTAGGTGCTGGGCCTGCAGATGCCCTACTGGTAACTAAAAGCAGGACAAACTTGGCATCTCTATGTTTATTTTTGTTTGTTTTTTAAATGTCTCATTTATTATCTTAAAACTTTGTTTCAGAGCCCTGCTCAGGTCTTCACAAAGACATGTTAGTCACTGAAGGAGTTTCTTCCTTTTTTTTGGTACCGGAAATCGAACATTCAGGACTTTGCACTTGCCAGGCAGGCATTTGTGCCGCTGAGCTATATCCCCGGCCTGAAGGAGTTTCTGTAGTACAAGTTCATTAGCCCTAAATTTACCTAGCCCAGTGGTAGTAGGGCTGCATGCATAAACTCTCTTTTGGCACAAGACCCAAGTTGCCCCAATAGCCAAACATTGGATATTCAGGTTTAATTGCAGTACTGGCACTTTGCAAAAAATAAGTAGGCTTTGGGTTGCAATTGGGGCACTTGGTCTCCAAAAGGCTCGCCATCACTAGCCCAGCCTATCTCATCCACTTTCAAGACTGAAGACACCAAAACAAGAGTAAATTATTTTCACGATTTTTAGGGAAACCCAATTGCTAGCTCTTACAATGTCCAGTTCCTTCTTGTTTTGTTTGTTTGTTTTCTTTTTTGAGATAGGGTCTCCCTATGCAGTTCAGGCTGGATTTGAACTCACTATGTAGCCCAGGCTAGCCTCAAACTGGCAGCAATCCTCCTCTCTCAGCCTCCCCAGCAGTGGGATTACAGGTGTGCACTACCACGCCCAGCTACAATATCCAGTTCTTAAAAGTTTCCCATCATTGTTCTAAACATGAAGTCACCTTGGATTCCAAGAAAAGCAGAGCCTCACAGAGCACCTCATGATGAGGTCACACCCTCCCCCACCAAGTAGGAGAAATTGTCTCACAACAGACAACAGGAACCAAAACTGTCCCCCACCCAACTGGCCACTAGCAGAGTCTGTCATCTCGTGACTACTAGGGGTGATGGATCTCCAAGAACCTTGCAGAACCAGTCCCGAGATAGCAATCTAATAACTAGACCATGCCCTGACCGGGATTACCTATGATGCCAGCCACGCCAACCCCAGTCCTCGCCTTTGCTTCCCTTCCCATTAAACCCCAAAGCTCTCCTCAGTCCCTTCAGATCTCGAGCCCCCATCGAGCTTCCCAGCATGGCCACGCTGATTCTAGCTCCTTTCCTGCCCTCTGCCACAGCTGTCTCCACGACTGGTGCTCTGGGACGCGTGTCCAGGCCAAGTCCACCAGGTCCCCAGGAACTGGGCTTTTGCTTTTAAACTCCAGCAAGAGTCTTAACATATTTTGATTTTTTTTACAATAAGCTTATATAAATTTGTAATTAGAAAAAACCATTTTTCCCTTTTGTCAACAATAAAAAAATCCGAAACAGCTTTTGCCTTTAAAGTAAAATAAAGTATTTCCTTTATAGTAAATCTGAAGTCGTATGAGCCAGCTCCCTTTTCTTACAACTCAGCCTAAACACTCCTGTTATCTGGAGGCTCGTCACCCTTCCGCTCAAGGGTAACACTTTCTGCTCTTGATCTCCTTGGGCTGCTTAATCTCTCTAGTTATGTGTCAGCTATTTATACTGCAGAAAAGGAACTAACACCTAATTTTGTTTTACAAGAAACATTAAAATAACAGAGTTGTGAAAATATATACTTGAATATTTAGAAATACAGAACCAACACATGAAGACTTAGAAACGTAGGAAAACAAATTCTTTTGTCAAAATTTAGTCAGTTGCAACAACCAATTTCATGTATCAATAGGTGATTTTTTTAAAGTCTCAAAACATTTTTTGTTTGTTTGTTTGTTTTCCGGTACTGGGAATCGAACTCACGACCTCACACTTGCCAGGCAGGCCCTGTGCCGCTCAGCTAAATCCCCAGCCCCTGAAACAATTTTTTTTGAGACAGGGTCTTGCTATGTAGCTCAGCCTGGCCATGAACTCACTATGATCCTCCTGCCTCAGCCTCCCAAGTGCCAGGATTACAGGTGTGCACCACTGTGCTTGGCTCTCAAAACATTTTTCTAAAAAAGTAATTCATAATTTTTTTTGTTCCTGTCAGTGTAATTTCTTTCTCCTCTCTCAGTTTAACCAGAAGAAGCACGTCTACTGTATACCAAAACAAGAAGGTACAAATATAACACAAAAACAAGAAACCCATCATTATTCTACATATCCCAGGAAGGGCAGAGAGTTCCGGGTGCTCCATTTTATGGGCGATTCTTAAAAGGGGGTGCTGAGGGCAATGCTGAAACCAGACCCTGACAGATAAGGACATAAAGATGCCGAGGACTGTGGGAAAGGGAAAGCATTGGGGAAAAGACAACTGAGAGTAAATTCTTTCCATAGCTGGAAAAACACAGCTCCAGAGCACAGCGCTCCTATCGCTGATTAGAAACAACCAGGAGACCAAAGCCCGTCTCACGAAAGACCATTACTGAATTATCTCTAGAGGGTTATTCAGACAGCAAGAAGCACATCTCAAGGGCAAAGGCAAAACCTTAGCCCTACCACACGTACTGTGCCACGCACTAAACAGGCGCAAGAGGAGCAGCGGAGACACAGAGGCCATGGGCTACCTTTCCAGTGCACTGCAGGTGCTGTCCCGGCACGGACAGGGAGGTCACAAACATGGTAAAGCAGCGAAGCAAGAAGACAGTGCCCATCAGGCTACAGAGCCTTCGCAGAAGGATTGACCTGTGAACAGAGCGACCAAAGAGGGCAAGATCAGAAGAAAACATACTAAAAACCCCAGGCATCAAACCCCTACCTAAAGGGAAAGCAAGCAGAAAAACCACTAGACTTCTGGAAAAATGTGGGAATCTTTGATGCCACCCTAAGGCACCATTATCCAATCAGCAGAATCCTGCAGTGACTGAAATGTTCTACAGCTACACTGTCCAAGATGATACCCACATGTGGCTTTCATAACGAGGAACTAAATTTAACATTTATTTTTAACACTAATTTAAATTTCAATCACCACATGTGGCTACTGCCTGCCACACTGCACAATCCATACATAAATTAGATTCTAAAAACATCAGGCAGATAGATCAGTGACAAAATACAGCTCGAAGAGTTATGAAAGATGGAAATAATACCTGTAAGCTTAGTGCTATTACTCATAAACCGTTCATGGCTCAGAATTATAAGGAAAGTTACCTAAGAGTCTAGAATTTTTTTGCTCATTGAAACAATTGGTTAGCTGGGTGTGGTGGCGCATACTTGTAATCCCAGCATTCAGGAGGCTCAGGCAAAAGGATCTTTGCGAGTCTGAGGCCAGCCTAAACTGTATAGTGAAACCCTATCTCAAAAAGACAAACAAAAAGCCAAATTGGTTAATGACAGTAGCTAGTTCTAAAATATTAAT